GGAAAGTATTTTATTCTGATGGGCTTCCTTTGTCCTGATGTTTTTACCGTGGCAAAATAAAGAACCTTCCTTCCTTCCTTCCTTCCTTCCTTTCTTTCTTTCTTTCTTCATTCCTTCCTTCCTTTCTTTCTTGCCTAACGTCAACATGTCTGGATATCTCCCTAACACTTATCCATTCGCTGTCCGTTAGGTACTGGACACGATCATGCTGTCTCCTGACGTGCATCCTGGGAGTCACGTGGTTACTGGGTGTTTTCTTCGTCAATAAACACAGTATCTTCATGGCGTATCTCTTCAGTATTCTCAACGCCTTTCAGGTTAATATCAACAAATATAACATATCATATACACCCTCTTATTATTAGTGCAATATTTTCCCATTTCGCACCATGCACGTGTAATTCCCTGGAGTATCATCGCTTAGCATACATCGCTTTCTTACGGAAAAACCTTTGAAAAAACCCTGGTGAAATTTGACTCGTAAGAAATAGCTAAACGTGGTTTGAACTTTCGAAGTTTTCACCAATAGACCTCTTTACCTTGGCCGTAATGTTTTTCCATTTCAGACCACTTGTCATTCCCTAGAGTATCATTTCTTTGTCTAAGGATACAACTCAAACTAAGAATCTTATTCTCAAGAGAATGACATGTACATGGTCTGCATTAAATGAAGAAAAATATATATATACCCAAGCTTATAAGGCCTATCTTGTCTCTCTCTATACAGGGACTGATGATATTTCTACTGCATTGTATCGGAGATCGAAAGGTGAATTTTTATGCTTTTTTTCTGCTTTGGTGTCTCCTATTCTCGAAGACCAATTTATATTACCATTACAAAAGCACCATGCGTAACGTTCAATGTTTTTCTCTCTTCAAAGATTCGTGCTGCGTATATCAGCATTCTAAGGTGTAATCCAGATCCTTACGGTTCATCCAGTGGTGGAGCTAAACTTCTGTACAAACAAAGCCTGGCAAGTCGATCAGGATCGGCACGTGACCACCCATCTGACGAAGGAACTGGTGAAGACGTAAGTGATAATGTCACGTGATGATCAAGTGAGGTTCCTTTGAGGAAATTTATTCTAATCTATGTATAATCTGGATTTAACATTTTTGCAGCAAAAATGTCCCGAAAAGCAGGAAAAGTCGTTATTAAAAACACCTGGTGTTTTGAAGCAAACTGAGATGAAAGGCGCGAAAAAAGAAACAAGTAAATCAGGTTAGTAGGGTTTAAAAAATACAAACAAACAAAAAACAAAAAAACAAAACAAAAAAAAACAGGTCAATCAGGTTTGACATTCAAATTATCAAGCTGGTTTAAGTCAGGTGTCAGTCTTGTTTCAGACAGGTCAGTCAAGTTTGAACTCATACTTGGCAGGTTTGAATCAGGTCAATCAGGTCTAAAACAGATTAATCAAGTAGTGAAAATGTGTTCCTCCAGTAGTACCAACCCGATATAATACGTCAAGTTAAAGTACTAAGCACTTTGAAACCAGTTTAAAACCAAGCAGTCTAGTATTGGAATGAAATTATAGCCGTGCTTTATAAAGTGGTAACTTTTTTCCTTTTTTACGTGCAGTACGTATAAATGAAGAACCCGCCTCGAGACCTTACGCGTCTGCATACGGAGAAATCGCAAACCTCGAGTTGTCGCCTCTCAGCAAAACAGAATCATTTAAAGAAGCCTCGACACCCCTGATCAGTGAAGCGAACCCTGATACCTACCCTGACTCTACACAGATGAAGTTACATCCACAATGGGTTTAACACTACGACCAACATGAGTAATATATTGAGATAATAATCGAGTGATTGGGGTAACAGGATTTTAAGGTTCCCAGTCAATCCCATCATTCCTAGCAATCTCATTCTAAGTGCCCACGTTGCCTTTGGTCTGCTATAATATAGCAGACGATAAACATGTACTCTGACGATTAGATTTTGGTGTAGTTTGCTAATAGGCCTAATTCGCTGGATGGGACCTCAATCAATCCCATCATTCCTAACAATCAAATACTTGGAGTCGGCGTTCGTTTTGTTCTACATAAAAATAGCGAAGTACTTAGAGGAATTATTAATACTACCACTTTCTAATTGGCTATAAAGCAGAACACTAAAATTGACCAAAATAAACTGGCTAAAATGGAACCGGAAAAAACCTTTGGTTTTAGAAGTCGACCACTGCCCGGAAATAAACGAAGGCTCTTATAACGCGGTCTGGACTCTTGTCGTAGTTTAGAAGACTGATTTAAAACAAAAAAGGAATATGAGAAGCAATTATCTTTACCCATTCGTGATTCTACAATAACAGTCGATTCGTAATCATTAATTATAAGACTGATTAATGAAGAAAATCATAGTATATCGCTCAATTAAATCGTATATGCCCGAGTTACTGAGTGGCTGCCATGTTGGAGGTAATAGGGAATTAAGATTTGCAAAATCTACGACGGCGACGTCAACCAGAAGTGTAAATAATTTCTCTTTGGGGGTCTGTTCATTGGAGATTTCATTCAAAACATTGTCAGTAAAGTCAACTTGTCCACAGGGAAGACAGACTAGCTTTGAGGGCGCGAAACCCCAACAGAGAGTTTTAGATTTACGTTCACGGCAAACGTGAAACGTCAGTTGACCAGTAAAAAATTATTTTAATTTACTGAAAAAGAATCGCAAAAAAGTCCAAGTTGTAGAAAAACAAAAGAGTATTTGCGCTTGGTGAGAAGGTTTGTAAAAGGTAAAGTAAAATACAGGAAAACTATGAAAACGTGGTCACGTTTGCCGTTTGCGGGGAGAAAAAAAAGTCAATCTAAAACTCTCTAATGTGTAGTTATTTACACTTCCGGTAGATGTCGCCGTAGTAGAATTTGCAAATCTTAAAGTCCCTAATCATCATCCAATACGGCCATCTGTTCTGTTTATATGAAGATATAGAAATATAGATAAGTTATAGTGCTTGGGAACGAGGTTATTCCCAAGCACTATAATTTATCTATATTTCTAAGTGCTATGCGGTCCACATATTCTCATCTGTTCTGTTTATAGTTCTGTTTGAAGCGGATTCTGAAATTCAGCTTCAAGAAGTGACCCATTAAGTTAAAAAATCATAATCAAACAAAACTTTAAAAGTGTAATGTAATTTCCAAGATTATTATTATTTATTATGCTATGCGATAAATTGTATGAATATATTAATGTTAATATCTTATATAAAATATACTCAATAATTTAAAAACATCCGTAAACAAAGTCAATATTTTGTGTAGGCTCTAAGCCTTCGTTGTGGATGGTCAGCGCCAAACGATTTAAGACAAACTGGAGTATAATATATAAAATATATGCAAATTTCACCTTGAGTGAAGTAAAAGCCGAACATGTTTACTTGTTTTGAAGTTATTTCCTCAATTGTAATCCTAAGTATGATCCTGCGATTAAATACGTATTGCAATCTTTCAGGATTTTGCTTGTTTKTTTTTTTTTTATTAGCTGATTGAATGAATGAGGACCATACCTCCAGACCTAGTGCTGAAGCGCAGTATGGCAGCGCGAAGCATTTACGGCTACGCCAGAGATTTCGACCCCGACACCGCTATCCCTGGATTTACAAACTGATCAGGAAGCTCGGCCGAAGCCTAAGGGAGAGGTTAGTCGGCCCCTAGACCGTAGATGATTAACCCCTTGCTATGACCAGCAGACCCGGTATGTCGATTGTAGCGAAATGACTAACCACGTATGGTCACTCCTTTCCGTGTGGGATGTGTTTTGAAAACCTTAACGTGACGTATACCAGGTTCAATAATTAGGAATAAGAATTCATTTTTTTCTGTTTCTTGGGTTTATTCTTTATCACTTTTTTTCTGTCTTTTTTTTTCTTGAAATAACGAAATTTAATATGAAAAATGCACGATGTTTCTTTTTTTCTTATCTTCTCTTTTTACTCTCTTTCTTTCTTCCTTTTCCTTACCTTTTTCTTTCTAATGTGAAAGTTTCAGTAATTCCTAGTATCCATTCTCTTGATTAGGCATTCCGTCCAGGTATGTGGTTCAGCCTATCATAAATGGCAAATCTGTTCTGGTGGCCCGATTCAACATTCATTAAAATGTTTTATTTTCATTAATTCCCAATATATTCCCATAACCCCCCCACAAAACGCCATTGACATTGCTCAGATAAGTCACAAAACTCCAAATCATATCAAACCTATTTTCCAATTTACCAAAAATAAAGATAAAGCTTCGTTCAGTTTTTCAAAAAGTATAATCCGATCCAATTTCTGATCAAAGCGTTGCAAAACTCTATTAATATTCATGACAATCAGGGTGTGAAAACTTCACTATTGTTTTATTAACATATCGGTATGTGAAGCCTCGTTCAGTGACAGCTATATGTATAAACATTTCAACCCAAGTCATGTGTTAGCCATCTTGGTTTATGTTTGTAAAATCATCCGGGTTATTCTGATACTCGGATACTTATGATGAACTAAACTAGGCTTTCCATAAGGAATTTATATTCTAAGTGAATAATTCTCTCGTGAGAACACCTTGATGGATGAATAGACGATGTATCAATGCAAGGTAAGAACTACTCTTAAAGAGATATTTCTATTCATACTTGGTAACTTCAGGTCTCGTATTGCCCTAGTATCCAACAAGGTAGCTTAGTTGCTGGTAATCTAAAACAGTCTTTCATCTATTTTGACTAAGATTTTATTTATTGCGGGTTTAATTCTTCGTTTGCACGTTGCGTCAACGCGGCCATGTTGGTACCATTTAACAAAAGATTTCTCATTATCATCCATTGTTAACGGTACCACAATGGCCGACATGTTTTTGTCTTTTAACTCTCTTGGGAATGCTTGCAACCCATAAATTTATCCAGTTCCTCGGCCATGAAGGCTAGTGTTCATGTCAACATATACATCGGATGTGAAGAAGCGGTCAAGATCGTTGGCCATGAGGTTAACTTAGTTGATTTTAATCACACTTCATCTTTAATTATTTTTTTAATTTTAATTTTTTTATTTTTAAGTTAAACGTTTTGCGTGTGAGACAATATTGAATAGCTGTGATTGGTTGATGGTCGGTGTCCAAGGCAGTGGTTATATTTATTTTATATTTTTCATCAGCAATTCAGAGTGACACAAAGTGGCACAGAATTATTGATGTAAAAATATAAAGAAATCATAGCCTTATGTTATGGTATCCTGGTAAGAGTGAAGTAGAGGGGAACTGGGAACTCTTTTATTACTTGGACGTTTCCATTTCAGACCACGTGTCATTCTCTTGAGAATAAGATTCTTTGTTTGAGTTGWATCCTTAGACAAAGAAATGATACTCTAGGGAATGACAAGTGGTCTGAAATGGAAAAACATTACRCATGGCACAGAATAGGCGGACACATCCGGGACATTTCTATTGTTTTGGCGCGCGGTTCAAATCATGTTCACTTGACTGTGACTCGTTTACAGAGTAAAATTACAAGAGAATTAGCTGAAAATGGCTCAAGTAGACTCTGAAAACCAGTAATTTTGTATCTTCTTCTTAAGTTTTTTACATGGCCAAAGGGTGCAAATGAAAGTAGAGATATCATCTTGTCATTTGGTAAAATCAAAAAAATTAAACGATAAAATTTTTTTTGAGGATTTTAACAAGAAAAAGAAGGACTTTTTAAACATTTAAGTATGGAAACATAGTGGTCGTACATCTTGATGTTGAAATATTTTGTTTTCCAAGTGAGTTGGTCGATGGCCAAAAGGTGCAAAACAAACTTTAATGTCTAAAGAACATTTTGCACCCATTACACGGACTATCCGTTAAAATTATATTTGAGGTTTTTAAAGTTAGAAAAATGTGTGGTCTTTGCGCCTGGGTTGAGCGGGATTCCCGAAGTACTTGCAGCTGTCCGCGGGACTCTCGGCAGCATCAAAAACATAACCTCTATTGTTTATGGATTAAGTCATTTTTCATTTCTCGCCTAAGCTTCTTATCATTTAGCTCTTTTGTCTCCAAATTGAATGAATAAACACTGTCTTGTGTGTTTTTTTCATCGGACAAACCTCCTAGTTCATTCAAACTTTGACTTTTAGGAGCCACCAAATGAGTAATTGTCATGACTCATATGCTATATATGCTATCGAATCTACTAATAGGTTTTCATATCGCTCATTCAAGAAAGGTGAAGATCGGCAGCTCCATAAAGGCTAACTGCGTATTAAGCGTCTCCTTGACTTTTGATTTATAAAAGAAAAGCTTTGAATCGAAAACAGGAATAAAAATTTACCGGTAACAAGAAGTACGCGAAACTTTCTGTTCATAAGCGATTTACTCAAACAGTTTTTCATTTTCATTAAACGGTTTTTGATAGCAAACAATTTTTTTTTATAAACGACAGGAGAAAACAGAGTTTTCTGTCTTTGGCCGCCAGATTTAACCGATTAGTTAACCACGATTTAGGTTTTAAATCCTTCCTTTAAACTAGTTACTGTATTGAATTTATATGTCGGTTAGCTTGCAAAAGAGCCGTAAGTTTCAATTTGTAAACTAAATTCCTATGCTRGTCAAAAAAGTTTGGTAAAAAGACTAGATATTAGTTTGTTTACATGCGTGGTGATCACTTGTCAAACACGGATTATAAAGACAAAGGAGGCGGTTTTTGTCAGTCTCACACTTCGTTCGAGGGATACGCTTCGCAGCTTCCCGCTTCCCGCTCCCCGCTTTGCTCGGATGCATTCGCCAATCAGAACTTGAGGAATTCTATTATCATTCAAATTTATGCCCACCCATTGAAATGTACGTGAGAATCTGAACTGTAAGTGCATGTCCCTAAAACAATAGGCATTCTGTGCCATGGGCCAAGGTAAAGAGGTCTATTGGTGAAAACTTCGAAAGTTCAAACCACGTTAAGCTATTTCTCATAAGTCAAATTTCACTAGGGTTTTTTTAAGGTTTTTCAATAAGAAAGCGATGTATGCTAAGCGAAGTACTTAAAAACCTAATGTGGGTTGCCTGTGCGCGTGAAGTGACACATTCGTATCGCCTCGTCATTCTCTAGATCATATATCATATTACGGCGCGTTTCTCATTCAGGTCACGAAAGTACAATTCTAAATGAATAGTCAACAATGTATATAGATGATACAGCATACATATTATCTTAGTTTTTTCCCCTGGTTAGAACATGCTTGAAGTTTTTGTTTCCTTTTCAAATGAATGGCCGAAAAGAGAACTCCTTCTTTACTAAACAAAAATCAAAAGTCGTACTGTTCAGTTTTGGAGCAATTCTAAATATATTCTAACTGCTTTTCAGCTGTGTTTGACAAGTATAATCGAACTAAAACTGCATGGTTGATGTCTTTAAGAAGATGTTTGTGTTTGTGTCATCTTTTGAAGTACACAAAAAGAACAATCTTGTGTATCTTTTTTTCTGCACGTGGTGTGAGTGATTCTGTTGCAATTGCACTCCATCAAACAGAATCTACTTGTCAGCCAGTGTTCTACTTTAGTCTAGAGAATTGATGTCGAACTAAAATACAAAATTCAAAGCTTCAATTCAAAGCTAGGAAGCTCTATATTCTGTATTTATAAATCCATTGACGTGGTTAGTATTGTTTGTTTATGGACATTAAGTTCGGCTAACACTCATGACAGCACGCTATAAAGGTCAAGTAAATATTTTTTAGTCCATCATAACATTTCGTTGAACGCAATGCGTAACCCATATGCACGGGAATAAAGCTGTGTGACCTTAGTGGTCTTCCCTTGCAGGAAGTAGGTCTACTCCGCTATACGCGATTCTTGTTCCATTTTCAGTTTAATATCATCACAGCTAAGTACAGTATCAGG